TCCCACGGCGTTGTAGATCAGCTCTGCGCAAAGGCTGGTGGAGACCAGGGCTCCTCTCAGGAGCTGGCAGACCAGCAGGTGAAGGCCTGAATCCGAGTGTGGAGTCAGGGGTCCCCCACTCCACAGCCGGCTCCTCTCCGGTGGTCTCCGCCTCCCTCAGCTGCATACCCAGAGAACTACCTCCCAGGCCTGCTGTGAGGCTTTAAGCAAACAGCAAATAGGAAGGTACTCACGGCCCACCACAAAAATGCAAGGCTTGCCTTTTGGTTCAGGGTTCACATTCTAACTTACTCCTCGCATGCCTTTGAACGAGTCACTGAACCTCTCTGAACCTTGTTCTTATCTCTCCCTACCTTGCAAGATTGTTGTGAGGCCTGGCAATAATATATGTCAGGTGCCTTGCACCCATTACCTGCTCCAAGAATAGTTCCTGCTGGGAAGGGGAGGAATAAGAGCAAGTGAGCACAGTGGGTGTTGGGGGTGGAGGTGGGTGTTGTCGGAAATGTCACGACTGGTGCAGGATCTTGATGTACTACAAACGGCATCCGTGCAGCCCCTTTCCTCTCCTGCACCCATAGCAGACATTGCCAGTCAACAATGGATGTTCTTCCCTACAACGCCAGCATGTGGCCTCAGAAAATGCTTTGTTCTGAGCAGTAGTCTAAGGGAGTTGTCATGAACATGAAACCTGGTTGCCACCAGAGATTTTGTTTTCTTGAACAAATGATCAAAGATGCAAAATAGCCCCGTGGAGGAGGAGAGGTCATGTGTCCCTAATAGCAGCCATGATCTCACAATTTGTGCCCCATGCCCAATGGACACCAATGGTGGAGGGGTGAGTGACAGTGTGACTTCTCTGCACTGTATACAGTATGCTCAGTTCTGAGTTCCACCACTTACTTGCTCTGTGACCTGGGACACAGCTCACTTCAGTCTTCTGAACCTCAGTTTTCCCATCTGTGAAATAGGAGCACCACTACCTCACTCAGTTGGAGTTGCTAAGGAGCTCAAATGTACTGATATATAGGAATGAGCTCACATGAAGAGATAAAGCAACTCCTATGTATCAGGAGTTTTTGGGGAAGAATGTCCCACTCTGTGGTTAGGGAGGGGAGGACACGGGCCACAGGAGGCTTTGACGAGATTTGTCAGCTCTCCTATACCCCAGGGCAGACACTGGGCCCTGAAGACGAGGAGACCCCGAAATCCTATTTCCCAGGCAGGTCCCTTTGAGATCCAAGGCAGCCAACTGTACTTCAAGGCAGGTTTCTCTGATCAGGCACCTTGAGGCTGGAGCTATGGACTCTGCCAGGCAAGGGATTATCTCTGGCCAGGAAAGAGGGCCTCTCAAAGATCCTCCAGGTCAGTATCTAGGACAGGAGACCTGGGTGAAATACATGGCCTGGACTCCTAAAGTCCAGATAAGGGGACTGAGCAAAGAACAGGTCAAGACCCTTTCTTTCTAATGCCACTCCCCAGGCTAACACCCTTCAGCAATTTCCCTTTACCTGCAGAAGGAATCAAAGAGAGCTTGAGGCCCAGCCCTACCTTTTCCAGCCTCACCTTCAGAACTCCTCTGTCCTCAACCCATTGCTCCAGCCATTCTCTCAAATGAACCAGACTCTCTCACACATCCTTCCTGACTTTTGCAAGCACTGTTGCCTTTTGCACACCCCCTACCCCCATCCACCAAATCCACTTAACCAAATTACTTTTTTACTCATCCTTGCAAATGAAAGACTTTCCAGGGCTCCCAACTTTGGGTAGTATAAGCCTCTCTTACACCTTCCCTTGGTGTGAGGGACTTTTCTCCTTGGCACCTTTCTTCTTCATCATAGTATTGATTACAGTTAGGCTGAATGCAATCTGAGGGCAGCACTGGGTCTTATGTCTGGATCCTCATGGCTTAGCAATATGCCTGACACCATAAATAGTACTCAATAAGGATTAGTTGAAGGAATAAATGAATAACCAGTGAGAGACACTGTCAGGTATGATGTCACATTGCAAAATATAATGATGTTTTAACAATTCTTTTGTTCTCTTTTTCTTTCCTTTTAATCTTTTTCTTGATTTACTATAATCAGCAAACTTGTCATTGGTTGTCATTGCCAGCTCCCTAGTACAATCAGGAAAAGAAGGTCTCAGATCTGTGGGGGATAGGGGGCTTGTGGTCACTTTCAAGCCATGAAAAGTGTGATATTAACATAAAATAGCACAAGGGCCCCTGGGTGGCACAGTCAATTAAGTGTCATGATCAAGCCCTGCATCAAGCTCTGAGCTCAGTGAAGAGTCTGCTAAAGTTTCTCTCTCCTTCTCCCTCTGCCCTTCCCTGTGCTCTCTCTCTCTCTCAAAGAAATAAATAAATCTTAAAAAATAAATAAATAAATAAACTAGCACAAAACTTTTGTGACAATGGGCTCCTCCGACTCAAAGATTATACAAAAATTATAAAATTAGTTGCAGAAATAAGGGCAAAATATGGTCCTCTGTTCTGTCCACATACCCCCTCTAGTGTCAAAAACTCAAAGTAAACTAAGGAAGGAAAAGGATCCCATTGGGTCCCATCTGTCTCCCAAAGCCTCATTCACCTGCTTTAAAAAATACATTAGGGTTCCTTCATATCACCTATTCTGAGAGAAAAGGACCAATGTGGGGAGTGGTCCAGGCTGCATCTTCTCTCCTTGAAGTCACCAGAGTTACATTCACAGAGCTGGAAGGCCACTGGCCATCTCTTGGAATTATGTCCAACCTGGGTTCCCAGACCTCTGGGCCTCAGAAGAAACAGTACTGGGGTCCTCATGAGGGACCTGGAATTTCACAATGCCTGAGGAAATTGTGCCATCACTGGAGATGAAACTGAAAACCACCAAAGAAACTGGCAAGTGTTTTTGCCTTCAGGACGTTATCCGCTTGGTGTTGGATCAGCACTGCATATCTCCCGCTCGCTAAATGGTAGTTATCTATGTCTTAAAATACTCAAAAATAGGAAAATAAGTAATGGCTTCATATATGTGGTCGGTAAAGAGTGTAAGATATGTTTAAATTTGGGGCTCATAAGAGCAAAAACATAATAAAAGTGGCCCTTCACAATGAAAAAGCTAGGACCCACTTCCCTGCTAAGCTATTGGCCTCTGAGGTGCGGATAAACCAGGCTGCTTTCAGAGAGAGCACTTCTCATGGCCAGGCCACCTCATCAGACATTGGGAGGAGCAATGATTCACAAGCCTGTACTAGCGAATGGCAAATAGTGTTTCCTGGAAAGGTACTCAAACTGGCTTTTATCAGTTTGGGCTTAAAAACATTCAAAATCTCCTGAGAATCTATTGTACAAACCCAATTCCTTAGTCTTTTTATTCTTGTTTTCGGTATTATCTCCCCCAATTCTGCCCGATCTTCCAAATGACTTTGATGCCCCAGGCTATCAGGTCTCCTCACCAAACTATATTTCGAACATTTATTGATTCATTCAACACATATTTACCAAAGGCTCATTAGGGGACAGGCATTATGCCAGGTGTTGGAGAAAACAGTGACAGATGTGTCTCCACCATCATGGAGGATACAAATAAGAAATACAAGGGCAAGGCAGGGACATGGTCGCTACAGGAGTTCCATGAAAGAGAATACAATTAGCCCTGCTTTGGTCACTTGACTAATCAACACTTTATTTCTGTTGCAGAGTTTAACAGTGATGTAAATAATAACCAATAAGTGTGAAGTGAGGTACACTTTTTTCCATAATCATTACTTAAGGTAATTAAAAATATCGTGGTCCCACTTACTGGTCTATATCTTCCAGTAGTCTGTGAGCTCCTCCAGAACAGTGATCATCACATCATTTGACAGAATTACAATCATATTGGATATACATACACATACGTATATATCATTACTTTAATATATGTGTGTATATGTAAAGAATTTTTTTAAATAATGACTATATCATATTAATGATTATATAATATTCCATGATTGTATAATATTCCCATTTGAATAACAGTTCCAACTATATGATTGTATAGTATTCCAACTTGGGACATTTGTGCAAGTTGCTGAATCACACTGAATATTTAGATTATTTCTAATTTTTTACTATTATAAATAACATTCCATGGGTTATAATTTTTAAAAATCTTAGCTACAGATATGACTACTTTTTCTTAGGATAGATTTTTAGAAATGAACCTCTATTTGCTTCTTATAATTTCATATATATTATTAAATTGCCTTCCAAATATATTGTACTAACTTACACTCCTGCCAGCAGTGTGAGTGACCCTATCTAATTGCAAATTAGATATGCCAGCATATTTGCTGGCATCGATAATTTTTTTTAACTTTAATAGGTAAAACTGGTATATCTTTATGTTTGCTTTTTTCATTTTCCTGGTGAGTTTAAACTATCCCTTTTTTTCCTTCAGTTTTTTAATAGCCTTATACTTCCTCTCCATAAATTGCCTGTTAAAGCCCTTGCCGACAGGAATCCAGTGTTGTTCCTTTAATGGGCCCCAGTGCTTAGAATGGTCTTGTTATGCAGCTGATGCTTACAAAGCTTTGAAAACAAATAGGTAGGAAAATCCAGGGGTAACTGTTTACATCCTTTATGAGAATACCCTTGATCTCAGCCAAAAGGCCGAGAAGCATACATCCTTTATGAGAATAATTAAGCCTCTAAAACCTAACGACTGTGACCACTTTAGAATTTACTAAGAATACATTAGCATACTTGAACCCCACAACTACTGTGTACTGTTATTTTCAGCATTTTTACTGTGTGGAACAAAGTCTGAAGTAACAGGTCTCAGAGGGGTAAGTGGTGAAAATCAGGTCCACTCTGGAAACGAAGTTTCCCTCCAGACGGGGACTAAACCAACTGAAGTTCGTCCTCCTCTACACAAGAGGGCGGAGCAGCAGGCCATGAAGCCGCACGAATAAGGGCCTCGTTGGACTACACTTCCCAGGTTTCCGCGCGATCCCCCGGAATGCTCAGCTGACGAGGAGTTCAGGTTCCAGGTTGCCCGGCGGTGGGCTGTGACTCCGTCTCCCACCCACGCGCGTAATGGTTGCTGGCTTTTCCGGGGAACCACTGCTGTTGAGCTGTACCTCATTGCTAGGGAACGGGCACTGGAAGGTCTCAGGCACGGTCCCGCTCTCTTAGGGCGGTAACGTCCTGCGCCGTTGGGAAGGGAAGGTGGGAGGAGCGAAGCCGCTGTGAACCATGCTCGTGAGCTGTGGGTCCGTCTGTGAAGAGGCCCCTCTTTGCCTGACCGCGGCTGGAGTCTGCGCTGGCGGTTTGTTTTTGCGGCAGGCGGAAAACTACACTTCCCAGCATCCTCGCGGTGCCAGAACTACCTTGCCCGAAAGCCTGAGTGTGATTCAGCCAGCCTTTCGCCTCCTCCCGCCAGCCCGAAAACCGGAAATGTGGAGTCGTTGTGCTTGGCGGCTGCTGCGGTCTGAGGGCCATGGGAGCCCCTGGGTTTCGAGCCTTTGCGGGGATTTTTCGCCGGCCCTGCGAAGAGGTGAGATGAGTCAGCTTGTCACCGAAGCCTGAGTGCTATCTGGGGAGACTGCCGGTGCTTCTTGCCTGCTCGGCCGCGCGAGGCGACACTGCCACGCCCCTCCCAGCCCCGCCCGGTGCAGACGACCCCGCCGCCGCTCTCGCCAGGTTGCGCGGGGGCGAGGACCCAGTAGAGCGCCGCCTTCTCCGAGAGCCTGGGGTTCCACCTGGTTCCATCGCTAGAGCGTGCCCCGCCCCCCGCCCCCCGCGCCGGCTTCTTTCTCAGGCCTTGTTTCCTTCCTGCTGTCTAATGAGGCTGGCAGTCCTCGCCTTCTGGGAGGTATGTCGGGAGCAATCTGTGTTCTGAGAGTTCTGGTTTCTCTCGTGGCCTGTTCAAACTTAGGCTGTTATTCGAGTGCTGTCTCGAGCCCACGTTTTTGGAAGACCACAGCATACATTTCAGGTCAGGCCGGCTTTATTTTCGCTGTAATTTCTAGTACTCTGCAATCACATAGTAGCCATTCAAAGCAAAACAAAACGTGAGTGCTGGAACCTGCAAGTGTTGAACTTGGTGGCGCCCGTTAGCATTGTGTCCTGAAGGACGTCAGACTTGATGCTGAAAGAGGATTCCAGACTCCATCTCCCCTCACCCTTTTTAAAAATTCTGTAAGGTTGTCTACAGAATAGGCACTTCGTACCAATCTTACCATTCTCTGTTCAACTTAAATCTTCAGTGCCATGTGAAATGAGCCACCCAGTGCCCACCGTACTTTGTGCCATTCTGCTAATTGCTTCATTTCACGCACACAGTAAGATTGCAGTTGTAGATCGCCCATCTGTAAGACTGCTGTTGAGCTCCCAGTGTCTGTCACAAGGTATTTGGTTACATATTTAGGTCTTGGGTATCCTTGTACATTATGATGGACTTTACAAAAAGGAGATAGCATTTTTTGAACCCTAGGAAATCACCCCATTTTCAATCTAATCGTTGTAAATTTTGAGAGAGAATGTTTTCATTTGAATATGTAAACAATATTAAACAATTTTGGAGAATGAACTTTGAAGTACTAGAAAATAATAAGTAAGCAGTGTTGTCTTAACATATTTGTTGAGTTACCCTACTTGAATCTGACTTTCTTGGAGAAATCTTAAGTGGCCCCTTACAACTAATATGATTGTGTCCCTCATCACTGAACAAACAGTAATTGAATGCTTACTGTGTAGTTTAAACTTGCCTAATAATGTCAGTAATGAAGGAACTTAAAAACCTTGACCTTGACCTATGGAAGGATCTCAGTTATTTAGTCCAGTATCCTTTTTAAAGATAAATAATAGAAGGCATGGGAAGGTGATGCAATTTGTCTAAGTTTTAATAGTGCTGGATTCCTAGTTCATTACTGCTTCCCAAATTTAGCAGAATAGAAACCCTGCGGATACTTTCTAAAAATATGTAGTTTTAAGCCCTACTCCAGAACTACTGTGTCAGTCTTCAGGGGTGGAGACCAGGGATCTCTGTGTTACGTATTAATTCTGGTAATTCTGATGTAGCTAGCAAAGCGCCTGCCAACAGATCAGCATATAGAAATATATATTAGTAACCAGCTATGTCACTAAAGTATTGCACCTCTGAAGTTAGCAGTAAGTTAATATAAAACTTGTAGCTTAGATTTAATGAGAGCATTTTACATGTATTATCGAAAGTAAAATCTGGCCTTTCCTGGCAAAGAGGCAGCTTGGTTCAAGGTAAGTCAGAGTGCTAATCCAAGATACACAGTTTAACAGCTTCGTGATGCTGGTTAAGTCTTTAAATGGAGTTTGTTTCTCACTTTAAGAAAACTACAAGATAGGTATGAAAGGAAGGGTTTGGGGTTTTGTACAATTGTATAAGTTCTGGGAACTTCTAAGGTGTTAATGACCTGTTATCCCACCTGAGCTAAGAACAGTGATTCTTGTTACTTCATCTCCTCTACCTATTAATATGCTTGCAAAGACATACTCTTAAAAGTGCTTATGAGGCCTGGGTGGCTCAGATGGTTAAGTGTCTGCCTTCGGCTCAGGTCATGATCCCAGAGTCCTGGGATCGAGTCCCACATTGGGCTCCCCGCTTAGCGGGGAGCCTGCTTCTCCCTCTGCCTCTCTGTCTCTTATGAATAAATAAATAAAATCTTTAAAAAAAAAAAAAGTGCTTATGAGGAAAAAATAAAGTGCTTATGAGTTGAAGTCTTGTGAAGCCCTACTGTGGATATCAAAGCTTTTCCATTTCCTTATTCCCTCCAAAGAAGAGTGCTCTCTAAAGTCCTACTGCAAAGGAGGGTGTAAACACCTACTTCTTAGGATTGTGAGGACTTAGTCAAAGATTACGTAACTATTTGAGTACACCTAAGGAATGAATATTCCACAGATCCTTTTCTATTCTTGTTTCTTCTTATCCCCACAGTAAATAGAGCCCAAGGTAGAAATAGCAAAGGCAGCTCATGTCTTTGTGAATTTTGCTCATCCTTTTCCTCCTGCCTGGCTAACTCCTTTAAAATTTACTGTAACTAGTATCTTTTCCAAATAGCCATTTTTAGAAACTTTTATTTAAATTCAATTAATTAACATATGGTGTATTAGTAGTTCAGAGGTAGAGTTCAGTGATTCATCAGTTGCATATAAAACCCAGTGTTCATTACATCATGTGTCCTCCTTAATGCCTATCACCCCATTCCCCCACTCTCTTCCCCTCCAGGAACCCTCTGTTTGTTTCCTGAGAGTCTCTTATGGTTTGTCTCCCTCTCTGATTTCATCTTAATATATTTTTCCTTCCCTTCCCCTATCATTCTGTTTTGTTTCTTAAATTCCAAATGAGTGAAATCATATGATAATTGTCTTTCTCTGATTGACTTATTTCACTTAGCATAATACCCTCTAGTTCCATCCACATTGCTGCAAAGGGTAAGATTTCATTCAAATAGCCATTTTTTAACCCTTTATTCTCATCGAGGACCAAATATTTCTCCTCTGTATTCCCTTATGGATATATCTTGATAGCACATGAGTTAAAACCACAGTCTTGATCTTCATTGTACCCACAATACCTAACACAGTTCCTGTCAATCAGCAAATGTCTGCTGAGCACCCAGAATTGTATTAGGCATTGGGGATTCCATGATGAGCAAGAACAGGTATGGTTCCATCTCACAGGGACCTTACCATCTTACACAGTGGTCGTCAGTTTTTCTGTAACGAGCCAGGTTATATTGTAGCCATTGTGAGCCATACGGTCACTGATACTATTCTTGTCTTGGTAGCATGAAAGCACCCATAGGTGTAAAAAGGACTGGCTCTTTCTTTTTTATCATTTGAACTTAGAGTTTATATTTAGATACTGTTTTTTAAATTCTCATGTTTTTCATTCATAAGTGAATGAGCATGGTGGTGTTGCAATAAAGCTGTTTAGAAAAATAGGTGGTGGTGGCCTGCAGACTGTGGTTTGCTGACCTGACCCCTGGCCTGGTGGGAAAGGTAAGCAGTTAACAATCATATAAATGTGTAAATTGTGAGGTGCGGCAAAATAATGTCCTAGGATCCTGTGAAAAACCCTAACAAGAAAAAACCTGACCTAAAGGAGTCTGGGCAGGCCTTCTGGTGGAGGAGACATTTGAACTGAACACTGGAGGATAAATATGAGCAGGCAAAGAAACGGGGAACTTTCTTAAATTATTAAGAGAATTAAAGAATTAAGAGTCCTTGAGAGCGGAGGGCCAAATTGAGCACAGTGGGTCATGAGATTGCAGCTGCACCCGGCAGAGATTTGCAGCAGTGGTAGGTATTTATTTGGTCTCTCTCCCATATCAGTGGGAAGCTTCCCTTTGTGAAAGGAGGAAGAATTGTGCACTAATCTGCCTAGCTCTGAGACCATAAGATCTCAGGCAGTTACTTAGCATTTCTGAACCTGTTTTTCTCATCCATAACATGAGAATTTTAAGGATAAATAATAGGTGTGAAAGCAGTATCGTGTTATATAAATATTACTCCCCTTCCACACAGTAAACCCCAAATAAAATACTAAACTTCTAATGAAGGATGGATAACTGTGGGTACTAATCATTCCTAATGCAGTTGTTATTGGAAATATTACTGAAATCTGCCCCTCTTTTTCCTCTAATATTTTCTTTTCTCTTCCTTAGGTTTAATATTGACACACAAAGGCACATTGCTTAACTCTTCTAGATGGCACTCAGAGCCAAAAAGATTGCTGACCACTGCGCTAATATGTGTGTGTGTGTGTGCACGCACGCGCATGCGTGCAAAATTGATCCATCTTTACATCTGATTCCTATTACCTGTAAACAGAATTTATCTGAGTATTTGAATGAATTGATATAAAGGACTGGCCATTACTTTTTCATCATTGAATTTAGAGTTTATATTTAGATACCGTTTTTAAACATATCTTTCCTGCCTACTAGTCCACAAAGTCAGCAAAGACATCAGTTATGTCTGGTTTTGCACATCATCCCCCAGGCCTGGCACTCAAGTATTTGTTGGCTGAAAAGATACATAGGAAAGAATGACATTTTCCCTACACTACCTAGCAGAAACGTAATACCTGAGGTTGCAGCTATGTCTTTTAAGTACCTAGATAACTTAAGCGATTAGGATAAAAAAAGAGACAGCTTAGGGTGACAGAAAGAGCATGAGCTTTGGAGTCAGAAGACTTGAGTCTCAATTCTGATTCTACCAATGACTCTGTAACTTTAGGTAAAATGCTTTATCTTTTCTAGGTTCAGTTTTCTTTTCTAAAAATGTAGATAATATCACCTTGCGTTCATAGTATGTAAAATATCTGGTATATGGGGTGCCTGGACGGCTCAGTCTGTTAAGCATCTGCCTTCAGCTCAGGTCATGATTCTGGGGTCCTGGGATCAAGCCCCGTGTCAGGCTCCCTCTTCAGTGGGGAGTCTGCTTCTCCCTCTGCTCCTCCCACTGTTCGTGCTCACTTGTTCTCTCTCTTTCTCTTTCAAATAAATAAAATCTTCTATAAAAAAATAGGATAGTACCTAGTGTTCAATTAATAGTTACACTAATTAGCTGTTATTTTACTTAGTACATAATAATAGTAATGAAGTTGTATATAGACAGAATTCTGAAAAAGAATGAAATCTTTTAATGAAATTCATCAGTAATATATGGAAAAGGACCAGACTGTGTCTGGGTTAAAAATTGGGAATTTATTGAAATGGGACAATTTATTGCAAAAATGAGAAATTTGCTAGGGCTTTTGTGTTGACAGTAGTAAATACCCCAGGATTTAAAATCAAATACATGGATTGATTCAACAGTAAAATATTGTGACCCAGTTATCTGCCAAGCACCTTTCTAGGTACTGAAAGTACAGTGATGAAAAACCCAAAGTGCCATGGAGCTTACATTCTGGTTCAGAGAGACAAACCAGACAATTACAGATTAGAGCTGAGAACTATGATGGAAATAAAATGGATATGTAAGAGAGTGGGCATTCAAAAAGCTACTTTATATGGGGATGTAGGTATAAATAATTACCATAGCTCTATGAAAAACTTCTGAGCCCCTAGGAGAGTTGGGTGGTTTCTACTGTTCCAGTAATGAGAGACGTGGCAGTGATATCCAAAGCTTTTGATGTATATTACAACTTTTGACTGACTCTTAACAAATAAAATATATCCGAAAGAAGGAAAGGAAACATTTATTCAATGTTTGCCAGGTATAGAATAATGTTAGAAACTTTTCAGATAAAAGAGTGGGCCGCTCAGAAGAATCCGTTTTCTTCCTTGAAATTATAGAATTCCTAGGAGCTGGAACCGTGTGGTAAATAGATAGGAGTGATGCCTTAGAAGCTAAAGTGTCACACTTGTGTTGGTTACTACAAGGAAAAAACCTGTCTTCCTTTTTCAGACTTCTTCACCACCACAACCAAGGAAGGATATGATATGAGGCGAGTGGACATAACTCCTTTAGAACAAAGGAGATTAACTTTTGATACCCATGCACTGGTTCAGGATTTGGAAACTCATGGTGAGAAACGGGTACCTCTTGAAAGAAGAATATTAACAGTCACAGTAAATTACCTAGTGAAGACAATATCATTATTATGAACAATTAAGAGTCACTTTAAATACAAGTGCCATCCATACAGTGGAATATTCTACAGTCATAAAAATGGTGTTGAGGAATATTTACTGATCTGAGAAATACTCAGATTAAGTGGAAAAAAAACATAAAATTACATGTGTAGTATGATTTCAATTGTAGAAAAGAAAAACGAGTTTCTAGGCTGATACTAAAGTTCACGTGGAAGTGCAAGGACATTTAAGAATAGCAAAAAAGAAAAAGAACAAACAAAAGATTACCAGGTATCAAAACAGTAAGTTAAATTATGTGATAGTACAGGAATAGAAAAGTTGATTAATAGAATGGTATTCAGATAGATATAGACATTTTTAGCGAACAATAAAGAAGGCATTACAAATTAGGGAAAGGAAGGGCTATTTAATAAATTGATAAGATACATTACTAGCTGTTTGAAAAAAACAGATACTCTCACTGAAAAATAAATTAGATTGACTAAAAGTCAAATGTAAAAAAAAAAAAAAAAATGAGAGGGCGCCTGGGTGGCTCAGTCATTAAGCGTCTGCCCTCGGCTCAGGTCATAATCCCAGGGTCCTGGGATTGAGCCCCACATTGGGCTCCCTGCTCAGTGGGAAGCCTGCTTCTCCCTCTCCCCCACTTGTGTTCCCTCTCTCGCTGTGTCTCTCTCTGTCAAATAAAATTTAAAAAAAAAAAGAGAAAAGCTATTAAAAATACTAGAATATAGAATATTTTAAGACTCTTAGATTGAGGAAGCAAGACCTAAAACTCAAAAGCAGAAGAGTAAAGACAGATGGGACTACTGAAGTATTTAAAAATGTATATCAAAGGGTATCATTTACAAAGTTAAAAATGTTAGGAACATACATGACAATGAACATATTGCTTTAATATACAAAGAGTTCATATGAATCAATAAAAAAATTTCAGTAATTTTAAAGAAAAATGGTCAAAGGCCAAAAATAGCTCACAGAAAAATATAAATAGGCAATAAATATATGTAAAGTTAGTTGACTGAAGTGCAAATTTTAAGGATAAATAATGCAATGCCATTTCAGTTTTTAATGCCAATTATAAACTCAAAACCACTAGCAATATCCAGTGTTGATGTAGACATGGGGAAATGGATCAGTGGGAATTAAAATTGTAGAGTGCTTTTGGAGAGTAACAATCTGAAAATTTTAATTGTAACCCTTTTTTAAGTGAAAAATTTGATGAGGAAAGTTATTTTAGCTGTTTATGTTGATAAGGATATGCATTTTTAAAAAAACATAAATATGTATTTGCTGTCTACAGGATTTGACAAAGCACAAGCAGAAACAATTGTATCAGCATTAACCACTTTATCAAATGTCAGCCTGGATAGTATCTACAAGGAGATGGTTACTCGAGCTCAACAGGTAATATTTTCATTATTATCAGTTCTGACAGTTTCATCAGTCTTTTTTATACTGCATCTCTGACTACCCACCCACCTTCTAAACACACCTACATCTTCCTTATACTCTACAAGGGAACCAAAGAACAAAAAGCAAAACCCTTTAGTAAAGTCACTATCTAAAGAGATTGAGGAGGGGGCACCTGGGTGGCTCAGTTGTTAAGTGTCTGCCTACGGCTCAGGTCATGATCCCAGGATCCTGGGTCCAGGGTCCCTGCTCAGCGGGGAGTCTGCTTCTCCCTCTCCTACTTGTGTTCCTGTTCTCATTATCTCTCTCTGTCAAATAAATAAAATCTTAAAAAAAAATAAAGAGATTGAGGAGTTAGAAGAGTCATAATAAAATTATTGTAGCACAGAGAATGAAATTTTGTCAAATATTTTGTTATGTGAGAAAATTATTATTTGAATTATTTGAGGTGGTGGTGGTAGATGATTTGTGAAATAACTTTTTTCCCATAGAAAACCTACCACAGTAGAAAAGCTAACTTATAAGATAAAAACATTTTGGGGGCGCCTGGGTGGCTCAGTTGTTAAGCATCTGCCTTCGGCTCAGGTCATGATCCCAGGGTCCTGGGATCGAGCCCCACATCGGGCTTCCTGCTCCGCGGGAAGCCTGCTTCTCCCTTTCCCACTCCCCCTGCTTGTGTTCCCTCTCTTGCTGTCCTCTCTGTCAAAAAATAAATAAAATCTTAAAAAAAAAAGATAAAAACATTTTAGTGTAGTCACGTATATGTTCTGGTTAACTTTCATGAACTTAGAAAGCTGGAAGGGATATAAACATGGCTGGGAACAACTTCATTAATATGCTTTTATTTGGATACACAAATCCTTAAGGTCAAATAATGCCGTTTACTAAGAACTTAGGATGAGAGATGCACAGAGCTGTGGATTTCTCATGTATTATTTTACGTAATTCCTATAACAATCTTGAGAAGTAGGTAGAATTATTCTCCTTTGCCACTGAAGAGTGAATTGGGTTGAGTAATTTTTAAGAATCAATAAAAAAATTTCAGTAATTTTAAAGAAAAATGGTCAAAGGCCAAAAATAGCTCATAGAAAAATATAAATAGGCAATAAATATATGTAAAGTTACTTGACTGAAGTGCAAATTTTTAAGGATAAATAATGCAATGCCATTTCAGTTTTTAATGCCAATTATAAACTCAAAACCACTAGCAATATCCAGTGCTGATGTAGACATGGGGAAATGGATCAGTGGGAATTAAAATTGTAGAGTGCTTTTGGAGAGTAACAATCTGAAAATTTTAATTGTAACACATGTCACGTGGTGCTATGGAGAAAAAGCAATAATTTTATATAAAGCATAGAATAAGCTAAATGAACTTAACTGTGGAATAATTCATAGAACTCATAATAATTCATGAATTAATTCACTGTGTTTAAGAATTTGTTTCCTTCCGGGGGCGCCTGGGTGGCTCAGTTGGTTAAGCGACTGCCTTCGGCTCAGGTCATGATCCTGGAGTCCTGGGATCAAGTTCCGCATCGGGCTCCCTGCTTGGCGGGGAGTCTGCTTCTCCCTCTACCCTCCTCCCTCTCATGCTCTCTGTCTCTCATTCTCTCTCTCTCTCAAATAAATAAATAAAATCTTTAAAAAAAAAAAAAAAAAAAGGAATTTGTTTCCTTCCAATGAAGGGGGGGAATCGGAGGGGGAGACGAACCATGAGAGACAATGGACTCTGAAAAACAAACTGAGGGTTCTACAGGGGAGGGGGGTGGGAGGTGGGATAATGGGTTAGCCTGGTGATGGGTATTAAAGAGGGCACGTTCTGCATGGAGCACTGGGTGTTATGCACAAACAATGAATCATGGAACACTACATCTAAAACTAATGATGTATGGTGGTTAACATAACAATAAAAATTTTTAAAAAAATGTGTTTCCTTCCTATAATTTTATATATATATATATATATAAAAGATGTATTTATATATATCAGTTAGATCTCCCTCCCCCACTTTGGAGTTGACAGATACTTTATTTTTACTTAGGAATTAAGATTTGTCTTTTTTATTCCTCCTTTCCCAAGTGATATACTGTTAAAAATGTGGTTTACAATTTGCAGAAATACTCTTTTTTAGCATTTATTATTGAAATATAATTGATATACAATATTGTATTAGCTTGAAGTGTACAAAGTAGTGATTTGACAATTTTGTACATTACTTAGTGCTCCCCCATGATATATGTAGTCACTGTCACTATACAATGTTTTTACAATGAATGTTATTGACTATATTCCCTATGCTGTCCTTTTTATCTCCAGGATTTATTTATTTTATAACTGGAAGTTTATACCTCTTAATTCTCTTTACCTATTTCACCCATCCCCCCACTTCCACCCCTCTGGCAACCACTAGTTCTTCTGTTTCTGCTTTTTTTTTTTCATTTGTTTTGTTTTTTAGATAATACATGTAAATGAAATTATATAGTGTTTGTCTTTCTCTGTCCGATGTATTTCACTTAACATAATACCCTCTAGGTCCATCCATGTTGTAACAAATGGCCAGATCTCATTCTTTTTTATAATTGAGTAATACTCCATTGTATATATACCACTTCCCTATACATTCATCTCTCCATGGACACTTGGTTTCCTTCCATATCTTGGCTATTGTAAATAAGGCTACAATAAACCTAGGAGTGCATATATCTTTTAAAAAATTAGTGTTTTCATTTTCTCTGGTAAATACCCAGTAATGGAATTACTGGATCATGGTATTTCTATTTTTAATTTTTTGAGGAATCTCTATACTGTTTTTCACAGTGATTGCATCAGTTTACATTCTCACTAGTAGTTCACAAGGGTTCTCTTTCTTTCTACATCCTTATCAACACTTGTATTTCTTGTTTTGATAGCCATTCTGACTAGTGTGAGGTGATCTCTCGCTGTGGTTTTGATTTGCATTTCCCTGAGAATTAGTGATGTTGAGCATCTTCATATGTCCTGTGGCCATCTGTATGTCCTCTTTGGAAAAATGCTTATTCAGTTCCTCTACCCACTTTTTTTTTTCAGGAATAATTTGTGAATTAATTCACTGAATTTAAGAATCTGATTTCTTATATCTTTTTTTAATTTTTCAGATTTAGGTTTCCTTTCTCAGATAAATATTTAACAGCAGAGAAAAATTAGGATTTCTTTCCTAATAAAATTAGAACCTTTTGCATAAAATTTCAATGCTTAAAGAGTCATGAAGCATTGAAAGCTTTTAAAAATTTTACTATCATTTCCAATTAATTAGACTTTAGAATTAAAAGCATTCAACCCTTAGATTTTACTTACCCTTAAATTTTTGTGTGCGTTATTTTAGCTTACTTTATTCAGGATCATGACAGACTACTAAATCCACTAAAAAAAAAAAACAAAAAACTGTCATTTAATTAATTCCCCAGAACCTCTGAGCTACTCTGAAAGGGCTAATGAAGCTACTGACACTTTTTAAAGGTATAAGAAATTAATTTTTCAGGTTCTTCTCAAATATAAAATCAACTTTCCACATACTCAGTGAATATTAAACTTGAAAACAAAGCACTGTAAGTAATTTATCTTTTTTATGAAGTTTTTAATCTTTATTCCTATAAACAAACAATGTTATGGTAGTATCAGATGTACAATATAGTGATTGACCAATTCTATACAGTACTCAGTGCTCATCATAAATGTACACCTATTTCACCCGTCTCCCCTCTTGTAACCATTAGTTTGTTCTCCATAGTTAAGAGTCTGTTGCTTGGTCTCTCTCTCTTTTTTGTTTTTAATCTTTGCTTGTTTGTTTTGTTTCTTAAATTCCACATATGAGTGGAATCATATGGTATTTGTCTTTCTCTGACATATTTCACTTAGCATTATGCTCTACCTCCATGTCGCTGTAAATGGCAAGATTTCATTCTTTTTTATGGCCAAATAATATTCCATTGTGTATATATATATATCTTTATATATCACCATATCTTCTTTATCCATTCATCAATTGATGGACACTTGGGCTGCTTCCATAATTTGGCTATTGTAAATCATACTGCGATAAACATAAGCGCACATGTATCCCTTTGAATAAGTATTTTTGCATTTTGGGGGTTAAATACTCAGTAGTGCGATTACTGGTTCATAGGGTAGTTCTATTTTTCATTTTTTGAGGACCCTCCATACTGTTTCCCACAGTGGCTACACCAGTCTGCATTCCTACCAACAGTGCAGGAACGTTCCTTTTTTCTCCACATGCTCACCAACATTTGTTGTTTCTTGTTGAGTTTAGCCATGAGGTGTTATCTCATTGTAATTTTGATTTGCATTTCCCTCATGATAACTGATGTTGATTAGGCATCTTTTCATGTGCCTTTTGGCCATCTGTGTATCTTCCTTTGGAGAAATGTCTGTCATGTCTTCTGCCTATTTCTTAATAGGATTATTTGGTTTTTTGGAGTGTTCAAATGTCTAAGTTGCATACATATTTTGGATACTAACCCTGTATTGAACATGTCATTTGCATTTCTCCCATTCAGTATGTTGCCTTTTAGTTTTGTTGACTATTTCCTTTGCTGTGCAGAAGCTTTTTGCTTTGATGTAATCCCAATAGTTTATTTTGTTTCTATTTCCCTTACCTTGGAAGACATATTTTAAAAAAATGTTGCTACTGCCAATGTCAGAGAAGTTACTGCCTGTGCTCTCCTCTAGGACTTACAGTTTTGGGTGTTACATCCATTTTGAGTTTATTTTTGGTATGGTGTAAGAAAGTGGTCCAGTTTCATTCTTTTGCATGTAGCTGTCCGGCTTTCCCAGCACCCTTTGTTGAAGAGGCTTTTTCCTATTGCATCTTGTCTCCTGCTTTGTCAGAGATTAATTGACCATATAATTGTGGGTTTTTTTCTGGGCTTTCTGTTCTGTTTTTGTGCCACTACCATACTGCTTTACTTACTACAGCTTTGTAATATAACCTGAAGTCT